ACGGAGTGATAAAGGAGATTGAAGGGCATTGATATTGACCCCCCAAAATCAGCGCTAATGTTTCCTGCCGAGGTCTGAGCGCCAAAGACAAAGTAATTGTATCAGAAAATTTCTCCTAATTCTCTTTTCTCTTGGTGAGTTTTTCAGATTGAAGTTCAATATACATTAATTAAAAAAAAATAGCTGTATCTTTGTACAAACTGATAGAAAATAGGTTTTGGATTGTGAAATATTGTCCTGTGTGGTTTCATTATAACTTTATTAAAGGACAGATAATTTTTATGCTGGAACATTATTTTTATGCTGGCCCTGAGAATTGACTGTACATACATGTGTCATGACATAATATGTATTTTTGGTTTGGCTGCTTCAGGCTGCTCATGAGATTGATCAAAATTTATAGATGTCTTTTAATGGTTGTGATTTAATCTGAATTTCAAGATCTAACTTAACATTTTTTATTATTGACACAGATTTTAATACTAAATATTTATGCAGTATTTTGCTGTTTACTGGTGGAAAATGAGGGAGAACACAAGGATAATTTATTTTATTGCTAGGCGGACATAACTTTTCTTTTGGGGCCCCCCTCAGTCCCCCAAAAGACTGACCCCCCCATACGGCGCCCCTGACTGCAACAGATAACAAACATGGCGCAGGCGCCGAGTGGGGAGGCGGAGTTAGGTGACCAGCGGGGGAGCGAAAAGTAGTGATCATCTGTCCAAACGGTCAGTTAACTGAGTTTACCATAAAGTCCACAATATAGTGAGTGAGGGTTTCATTTTTTAACATCTTTTTGAGGTTTTTACGGTAATAGTGGCTGAAATTTTGTACATTGGGCTGAAAGGAAAGTTGTACGAGAGGTGGGGAACATGCGGCGAAGGGTCCAGCGCTTGGTCGTCCACGTCAAGTACTACGGCCTCCATAAATACGGGGTTATGCATGCTAACCACTGCGCCACCGAAGCACGCCCGTGATTGAGGGATTTAGGGATTAGCGCGGATATTTGGACACAGCCTGTTATTAAACAAGAATAGAAGAAAAATGGACATTTCGGTTTTTTTTTTGTCTTTTTTTTTTTGCAAAAATATAATTTGTTAGCAATGGAAATGTTTTCATGATTGTTTAATGCCTGTCTCCCCCTAGTGGCCTGGAGGACTTCCATCATGTGGAGCTGGTTTATAGCTTTTCTTAACTTCGGTTGGTTTTTTAAAGTGCAGCATCATTCCTTTCTGTGTGTTTTTGTTTATTTAATTTTTGGTTTTCCTGGTGTATTTTATTTTTTTTAGTTTGTATAATTTTTTTTAATCTTCTGTGAAATCATATAATTACACAACCTATGCACCCTTTGGCCAGGGGTGAATTTAGGAAATTTGGGGCCCTAGGCAAAGACAGGCAGAGGGCCCTCTGAATTGAGAAGACAGACCCATTCTACAGATAGAAAAATGTAAATAGAACAGACATCCATTATCTGTTCTAGGTTGTGTCCCTCTCTTCTTGTCCCTTTTCTTCTTGTTTTCCTCTCTATGTTTTGTACTCAGCTGACTTTTCATGCTGTCTCGTGAGACCATCCTGATCTCGCGAGCTTTCAAGGTTTCACTCGCTAATCAGTCTGGAG